CAAAGTGCGTTACAGTGAGGAGGTGCTCACAACACTTTTAAACTGGGACTTCACTTCTTTTATGCAACAAAAATGATTTCGTCTCGAATTAAGCCAGGAGCCTAAAATAGGACCGGCCAAGCGTGTTCGGCGCGCTTCTCCGGCCCAGCAACCCAGAGGGTGCAACTTCGCGGCCGACCCACAGAGGGCGCTCGCCCCGACTTCTCCAAAAGCCCGCACCGGGGGCAAAACTCACCAAGATAATTCTGCCAGCAGTTTCTGGTTTGGTTCTGGTTCGGGAATCTGGCATCGAATGGCGCAGTGCGGTAGGACTGCAGCTTAGTCTGTATGTCATCGGCCATGGTTAACTGTAAAAGAGACCAGAAAACACACGGGTGTTTGATTGTTATGTGCAACGGTGGCAGCCTCCCAAAAGATAATTAAAAACATAATGCAGCAGGTTATGGAAACCAATAAATTGTCTGAAGGCAACGAACATGTACATGGGTTACAAAATCAGACAGAATGTGCGTGTGTGTAAACACGCATACGCAGCCTAACAGGTCGACATTTAATGTCAAAGAAAACTGAAAAAGACACAGTATATCTATTTATATGACCTTCAAAGACGGACAGAACGCGAAGGTTAAAATGTGCCGTTATGCAGCATTTGAAGGTTATTCTAAATATTTATAGCCTACAGTACATTCGAAATTCATATAAATTCGGTTTTGATGTCAAGGTCATTATTTCCACTAACAATAAATAGTCATATTTCTCACGTTTCACATTTTCACGGAACTACAGCATACGGTGATCCTTACGCGCTTTCCGGGTATTGAAATACGGTTATGAATTCCTATGCAAATTTACCCTTAAATGCAAAGGATTTCGATAACTAGGTATACGCTTGCTCCGTTATGTAATTTAAAAATGTAAAATACATACAATAAAAGAAAAAATTAACAGAAAAACAAGACAAAAGATCATGTCCATACACTGCTAGCTACGTCTACTACTCCAGTATACGAACACACACGTATATGTATATCCTTATATCACAAGTAATTATTCTAGTATTATTCTAAAAATCGAAATGGTACGTAAGGGGCATTATTACAAAATTACCTCGACGGCAGGTGTTGCAATGCAGCAATTTTGGTGTTTAGAATGAGCCCAGGTTGTACACGCGGTGCCCGACGCGCTGTTATGCGGATCAGCAGAGTGCCGCCGTGCGGGCGGATCTGAAGGGTATGGCGGACCAGGTCACATTGAGACTGAACAGTTACATTATGGTACCGGGTAAGTATGGGAATGTCAGTGTCACCCTGCGCAGGCGACACCCTGCCTGCTTTTATTTTTTTCTTTTTGGCGTTCTGTCGTCAATGTAAAGCAGTATCCGTTATTTCTCTTATTAATATATTTAAATATCGGTATAATATTTGTTATTGAAATATATGATGCAGCTGTCGATACGAAACCCGGAAGGGCATAAGTCATGAGAGCGTAAGCGTCGTACAATTTAATGATTAACCTGAGAATAAACTATTTTACATGAGGACCTTATGAGTCAAACAAAATGTTATGTTTTTATTATTATATTATTATTGTGGGCTTACGAGCTACCTTTATTCGGCGATGTATAATAAATTTATGAATGAAGAGAAAGTGAAAGGCAGAAGTATTCCACGTTTACTACAGCGGCAGAAATACAACCTCGCTTGAACCAGTAGCAAAAAACGCTGTGCCTATAAAATTACTCGGGTGGCGCTAACACGAAAAAATGCAGAAAAAGACCAATTTTCTTTTAAAGTCTATATAATGGAAAGCGGGCAAATTAACAAAATAAGGGAAACACCAAATGAAAAACGCTTAAATTTTGAAGTAAATAAATCCCAATAAGTGCAGCTACAGACGTGAGTCATATTAGGTTGAACGCCAATTAGCAGTATGTGTCAGCTTGTCAAAGGCGTGACAATCAGCACTTTGACTTGTAAGTTTTCCAAGTAACATGCGCTAACTCGCAGAATTCCAAAGAGGTCCAACTCAGTGCCCAAACTGTAGGTACATTAATCGTAAAAAACTGCAGAAATATTTAATGTGTCATGAGGAATAGTCTCAAAAATCATCACAATGTAAGCCATACCTAAACTGGAGCAGTGGTCACAAGTCAGCTCACTGACAAGGAGAGGCAGAAATGGCATGGATGCCAAACACCAAATTCACGGCATCGTAAATTACTACAAAATGAATCAGCACCTCTGTGACCCAGTCGCAACAAAGGCACTACGCTGCAAGCTTCACAAAGCTGGAATTTATGGCACGATTGCAAGTCTGTAGCCATGGGGTCAGCATTGGGGGGGTCCAAGGCTGTAATTGAATATTGAGGGGGACGTTCCCCCCCCGATAAATATAATAATGGCCTTGCATAGCTGTCATTTGCAAACCACGTATCCGAGACTAAGGAACAACGGTCCAGGAAATGCAAAACCTGGGCCACTGAGCAATGGGAAAAGTAATATTGTTGGTTGTGACTCATCTTTCAGCCTTTTTCTTACTGGACAGGGTTATATTTGGATAAGCCAAAGGAGATCTGCTCATATGGTGTCTGATCAGGTGCCATGCCTGCTCTGCATGCTCATATGACGGCCCAGGAACCCCAGGCCGCTTACAGGACCAGGTGTTCCCTGTGCTGCAAACTCCATGTTCCTATATTCCATGCTGATAATCCTCTGAAGTAAAACATTTCCATACCCCCCCCCCCAATCACCACATCTAAATATTATAAAACATTCATGATACATTGGAGCGTGGGTAGCAGACGTCACCCTCCCTCGAAGGACCGAAGGCGTTTCTCTGTGGTTCAGTGTCCCGCTAATGACAGCAATCCCAAAGGGACTGAAGGGTAGCTGTACAGCTTATCAGGGCCATGCATCTTTTATCTATCACGTATCCTGATTAGGGTCATGGTGGGGGGGGGGGGGGGTTCATTTCTTCATATTGTTATTCTGTTCAGTGTTTCCATTAATTTGCCGTACCTTAATCTGTTAGGCTGCAATTTTATTTTATGACTAAAAGCATTATCGACAATCTAAGCTGTTTCAGTATTTTGATTCTTCCCAAAAAGAGCATATATTCTTATTCCAATAAAAAACACAGAATAGCACAAATACACTTACATCAAGGAAAATGTACATGGATATACAGTAGGAGCGTAAACCAATAGAAATGAGCTTTACCATTAAATGTTTTACTATACAGGGAGTCTGGGGCTTCGGACCCCCTGCAACCCTAAATAAGACAAGCTGTTACAGAAAATGGAAGGATGGATGTTTTAATATACACACCTGAGCCTGAACACTCTTAAGAGGCAAGAGAACTTTTATTATGAAATAAGGGTCCATGAAAAATGACTCTCTGAGTCTAGTGGGAGGGGCCGGGGGGCTGGACTTGTTGCAGGTCCATGGTCAGGCTGGGCTCGGGCCGCGCTGGGAAGTCGGTCTTCCCCAGTGCTTGGTCTGTGTGCTTCTCGCTTGTTAGCCTGCTGTATGGCACATCGCTGTCTCTGTATTAGCTGTCAGCCTGCAGATTAGGCGAAATGGCCGCATCAAAGAATCACTTTTCCCGCCTGCTGGCTGACCCTCCTTCCGTACATTTTGTTTGTTCCAGCTATGAAACTTAATCTTTCTCTTTTTCTTCTTGATAGCTTCCCCGACTTCCCCCTTTTCATCTCATCTGTTTGGGAGGACGAGTCATACTAAGCAGATTTTCTCTGTGGATGTGGTGCATGTTTAATACCTCTGACATCACTGTATATCCTGTTCTCTGGTATCATCGCTAAATGTTTCACTTATTTAATGCACATGAGCTCTATGCACCTGGGCTACTTAGGATTGTAACTGCATCTATTCATCCATTTTCAGCCACCTCCCCAATACTGGGTCACGGGGCGGGGAAAGGGGGGGCGGGGCTTGGTGTCTTTTCCAGGATGAACATGGCTGGGGAACGCCATGGATGGGGAATGCCAATGGTCGTGGAACGCCATGGATGGGGAACATCATGGACGGGGAATGCCATGGACGGGGAATGCCAATGGTCGTGGAACGCCATGGATGGGGAACGTCATGGACGGGGAATGCCATGGATGGGGAACGCCATGGATGGGGTGCCCATCTGTAACAGAGCGGGCATGCTCCCAGCAGCTTCAGCCATGGTGGACTGTATCATGTGGCTCCATTTACTAAGGAACCCAAGCTATTTGGTTACACATTAAATATACACGCGCTAGACACTGGCTACCAGGCAGGAGAGAGTGATGCAAGAGGTTTCGAAAGGACTTTACTGGTCAAAAACTTCCCAGCAACCTTCAGCTGCCACAGTGGCTTCAAATCTACCCAGATGACCCATTTTAAAATTCTGCTGAGATAATCAATCTAATCTAGGTCAGCAGGGTGCCAGAGCCGTTTAGGGGCTAGTGATCAATTTCTATGGTGGTGCAAAAGTTCAGCCAATCCCATCTCCCTGGCACTCTCCTGCAGCCTGACTATGCTAATAAGATTAGCCCAAGCAGCTGTGAATACCAGCCCTGAAATAATAAAGCATGTATTTCAGCGAACTGGCATCTTAGTGTCTGTAGTGTGCGAGTATGAGTATGTGCCCTGCAGTGGACTGGCATCTTAGTGTCTGTAGTGTGCGAGTATGAGTATGTGCCCTGCAGTGGACTGGCATCTTAGTGTCTGTAGTGTGCGAGTATGAGTATGTGCCCTGCAATGGACTGGCATCTTGTCCAGGGTCTCTCCCTCCACCGCCACCCTGTACTGAAAGATGGATCGACGGGTACTGCATGTAGTGTGTGATGGTGTGTGGGTGCGCCCCCGGTGGTAGGATGGCATCACATCAGGGTGTTCCCCTGCCCCGTGCCCTGTGCTGCCTGGGCCTGCTTCCAGGCTTACTGTGACCCTGTGCTCTGCTAGGCCGCTGTGAAGGGTGGACGGATTTATGCCCTGACCCAAGTCCCAGGGCTGAGCTGGTACGCTCTCTCTCTCTTTTGTTCCATCCAAAGCAGCCACATAAAATGAGTACTGTTACAAAATCTACATGATCCCTCCATTAAATGCTGAAAGGAACATTAGGTCACTAATAAATGTAAAATTTTATTTCTTTAATAAAAGTAAAATCTTTCATGCCTTTGTGCCCCAAAACCAAAAGATTATTTTTTCTGCAATATCAATCACTGAAAAAAAATCAGCATCCACTTTGGTCACTTGGTGTAACGTTACTGGATTTGGCTCTTCTACTTTTGACAAATTATGTATTAATAAATACTATGAGAGAATGAAAGTTTCATTACATTTTTATATCAGAAGATGCTATTAATATCTCAGGGTAGGAGCGCTGTCAGCTCATGGTCCGTGCTGAGCGTGTGAATCCGTCATCGTGTCTGGGACTGGGGAGGGGAGCTCTGCAGTGGAGCCCAGCGCATTCCAGCAGAGAACAGAGACAGCACACAGGCATCCTACGATGGTGCATGCTGGGATTGGCGGCAGGCGTGTCGGGGGGGGTGACACAGGAAGGTGCTACTTTGGCCTTTTCCTCTCCGCGCCGCACAGGACGTTAGCTGGTAGGATGTGACGTATTCAGGAGATAAATGAGTCGAGGCTGAAAGTGAAGCCTGACTCCCAGCCTTCAGACTGTCGGCTTAAAGCCCACAGACCTGTGAAGCGTCTGTGTTGAAGCTGAGTCTGAGAAAAGCTTCCCTGATCTCCCATCGGTCCCTCCCACATCCTCTCTGAGCTGCCACTTAGTGAGGGTCACAGTGCTGCGTGCCCCCGCCCCCACAGGCTCTGTTACTGGCAGGATGGCCTGTCCCGACCATGATCGCTGGAAGACAGGGACAGGCAGAGGCTTAACAGACACGCAGGACAATGTTCATACTGTAATAGAAGTCGATAATGTAATAACTGGCCAATAATGTAATAACTTAATACCTTTTTGCCGAAAATGTAATATGTTATTGGTTCAGAAAAGATATTAAATTATTGGCCAGTTATTACATGATCAACTTTTATTATATTAAGAATGGAAAGTTTGTTACATATTTGGCAGTTATTACATTATTGGCTTATACAGGGGTTTTGGGAGAAAATCAACAAGTAAAATATAATTAAAAAAATTATTGCATGCCTTTTCAAGTATAGATACCTTTATAATGCAGTTCAAAGCATCCTTAATGCTTATACCAACCATTATAATGCATTATAAAAGTATCAATAATGCATTATAGATGAGCCCTTCAAAAAGCATTCATAATGCATAATCAACATGGCTATAATGTGTTATTCCTTTTGATAAATATTTATAGCCATGTTTATAATGCTTTATGAATGTATTATTATTTGTTATAAATGTGTTTATAAATTACTAAAAATATAGCCTTAAGTAATGTGTTACCGAAATGTAAAAGTCAATTTTTAAAATCTGTTGTTTTTAACTGAAATGTGCAGCATCCTGGATTTAAATGGATTGTTAGAAATCCAGGGAATGCAAATGCAGACCCTCACTCATAGAGCAGCAGACAGCCTGAGACGCTGCTGCTGTTCCCATCCGACACTGGATCCTTCTCAAAGCTGCCCTCATTCCCAGCCTTTGCCTGGGCTGCAATCTTCCACAAGGCCAGACCATACAGACCCGAGTCTGAAGTACGGAGCAAAATCATTTTGTTTGTTTTTACAAAAATAATTACCCCTACATAACAATGCAAAAACGGTTGCTGTTATACATTCTTGCTTGGATTACAGGATTTCTCAGTCAGGTAAAATTGCTTCAGCTTCTTCAGATTTCTTGATTTTTATTTATAACTTCTATTGGCACCCAAAGAGTTTTCTGTAATTGTGAAAACCTGCAGAATCCTATAACATGCATATATGACCGAAGGTGTAAACTAGGGTTCAGTGACCCTGATCGTGAAGGGCCAGTGTCCAGCAGGTGCTCTATGAACCACACCTGATTTCAGGCAGATAGTAACTCATCAGGTAGGATAGAAAACCTGCTGAATACCAGTTCCAGGATCAGGATTACTGACCGCTGGTGTAAACTCACTCTTCTGCTGCAGCACATAGTGAGAGGCTTTGGCTGTGGTGTGCAGGAGATGACCAGATACATTGGCTGAATCGTGAAGCACATCTGATCCAATCAGAGCCTGCCTTTTCAGAGAGGAGCACCAGCTGGGTCTGTGCAGCATGGAAATGCACACATACATAACTTAACATAGGGTCTTTCTCAATATGGATACTTGACCTCACTTGTGCTCTTGTGGACCCATTTTATGTCATCTTCCATTGCCGAAGACCAGTTCCAATACTAAGAACAGAAATATAGAGGCTGGTAAAAATACCCAGATACCATTCTTGCTCCACCCCAAATATCAGGGATACATCAGTTGCATCTTCGCAGAACGAGACAAATCCCATGATTCATTGCACTCCCAAGTCAGCAAAACTGACCTTCACAGGACTACAAGTACGATATTTGCGTTCTTGGTATTGAGAAACACCCATACTCCCTATACCAGTGTTTCAGAAACACCCATACTCTCTATACCAGTGTTTCCCAACCCGGTCCTCAGGGACCTCCAGACAGACCAAATTTTGGCCCAGGAGCTGGGAGGGAGCAAAAATGTGGACGGTCTGGGAGTCCCCGAGAACCATTTTGGGAAACACTGATCTATACTGCTTATAGACTATATACACAATATATCTTTGTCAATAAAAAAAGACTCAAAAATGACTGTTTAACAAAGTAGAATATTCCACAAACAACAGTGCCCCCCTCAGCATACCTGTGCTTGGTTTATTCCAATTAGAATGAGGTCAGTGACTCCATCCCCATGGAGGTCAGGCACAGTCTGGGCTGGCGTCTTGGGGATCAGCTCTGGGAGCTGGGCCTGCTGCCATATGTCCTCCCCTTCATTATGGAGGACAGCGAGAGAATCTCACATCTAACATTCGCTCCGTAAGATCTGAGTGCTGTTTCATCATCACTATGGTCCAAGATGACTGGTTAAGCTCACACTTCTGGTCTTAATATTCCAGTATGTATTCCCATTTCCAGTAAAGGTTTTTTGCAACAGCCCTCTGAACATAATATATAAACAATGATATCTCAGTGGATAGCACTGTCACCACAAACCTTCAGGGACGGGGCCTGAATTCCCCTCCCAGCCCTGTGTGTGGGGAGTTTGTTCATTCCCTCTGGGTAGTTACTCTTGCAGTCTGATAACATGGTGTCTTTAAATTGCCTCAAGTGTGTGAATTAGTAAATTCTGACAAAGTGCTACAGTGTTATGTTGGCAGGAGTGAAAGTGATGAGTACTGAGAAGTTCGCACAGACAAAGAAGTCAATATTGAAAGAAACAAGGCTTCAGAAGCAGCAGTAGGTGGGAATACCATGCACTGTCCAATGATTTAATACAATGGGAAGCAGCAAAGTAGCCAATGAGAGGTAGGTTAAACCACTCAGTGACTGACAGCATGTGGTAAATCCCGCCCACTGTGGCCCAGAAACGGAAACACGAAGATTATCCCACAGGAAGCAGGAAATAAAACTATTTTCATAGCAGTAACTGATTCTGGTGGCCATTGTGAAAGGTTCGGTTCCAGCTGCTTGGGTGGGAAGCCGACGCGTGACAGGGACAATGAAGGCAAAGACAAACACAACCATGAGGCAGAAGAGGACGGAGAGGACGAAGGCTGCAGTGTGCCAATGAGAGGCCTAAACGACCTTCATAACCTCGCACCTCATTGGCTGCACCTTCATTATGTTCTCAGCAGCTCCGAACATCTCGTCAATGTGCCATAACCTCAGGGGTTGCAGAGGGAGTAGGGGCTGAAAACCATGTGTATGCCCTGTGATTCTGTCAAAAGCAAATCAGCACATGATCTGTGCCAACCTGCATGATCTACAGTTTAACCTGTTATATTACAATGTGTCATTGAGTTGCAGTGAAAATACAGAGTTATACAGTAATTAATACAATTTTGTAGTGTTTAAAGGCCAGTCCATCTTAACATACATTCTCCAAATGTCATCCAGTAAACAACACTGCTGTATATAATTGTGTGCTGTATATAATTTCATTGCATTCATTTCTTGCATTCCCATTTTCACTGTAATGTAAGCCTTTTGTTCTCATTCAAACCTGTTGTCAGTTTTACAGTTGTTTCATAAGCAACTTAAATACAGATTATTTCTACTTATTTATTTTTGACATAAATATTGTAGCCATCCATTTGTCATCCACAGGGGATGAATATTGGCAATATACAGCATAATGAAATCAAATGATATTAGTAATTTGTGATGCGTGTTCCTTGTCCGTATCCTTGAAGGATATTTACTAGGATTGCAAATAAACCTGAAAAATTGTAACTTCCTTTTCTAAAGAATTTGACTATGAACTTTGTTCAGATGTAGGTAAATAATGTAGAGAAATAGAACGACTACAGCTCTGGTAACACCAGTGAAACCCAACCAAGTGTGTGACACAGAGCACCTCCCAAGATCCAACACCCTCCCTGTCTGATATTGAGGGGAATCAAGAGCTTTAAAGCAGATTTTTCCAGAAGGACATTATGCTATAACATCCTGTAGACTGGCTTTATCTCTCCCCCACAAAGTCAGCTGCTCTCAGACCAGAGAGGGGTCTTACTTAATCACATAAAAAACTACAATAGCTTTATTTTGTAATTAATGAATTGCAAGACACACACACACACACACACATATATATATATATATGTGTGTGTGTGTGTGTGTCTTGCAATTCATTATGCTTATATATTATGCTTAGCAGCTTAGGCCAAAAAATGGATAATATTGTCTGTCTAACATAAAGCATCCAGACATCCAGACTCATACTACATGATAAATCCATATGACTATCCTATGTATACTACTAAATGTACTTTTTTTAATGAAAAAATGCATGTAACCAATGAATCGTACTGGGAGCAGTTTTATTGTAAACACAGGCTATCCTCAGAGGACCTGCTGGTGTAAGAAAATGAAACTGATTATCTTTGTTTGTTCCAGAACCATGGAAGCAGAGATAACTGATCGCTGTATGTAAAAGACCCCAGAAGGCCTTTAAAAGCCTGGGAGTGATAGAGTAAACTCTACAGACAATGTTTAAGCATTCAGGACTTTCAAAGACGTCACACCCTACTCACCCTACTACAGGCTGAAGAAGGAGCACCATCCTCTGGGGACCCATTTGCTTAGCTTCACTGAAAGGTCATTACAGTTAAAGGAAGCAAGATGGTAGAAGATAATTGGCTGAAAGAGGCCCCAGTGACACTGGTTCTATTTCCACGATTCACTCCTGCCGACATAGCGCTGTAGCCAAATGAACAGCAGCAGACCAGAACAGGGCAGAAATATGCAGGTCATTGAACCTTCCAACAATCCCTGGTCACCTGACAGTAACTCAGAGGCTGCTGCTGGCCAGTGCAGATTGTTCTAGATCACGGTTCCCCAATTCCAGTGTTGGAGGGTCAGAATCCAGCACAGATTGCAGATTTCCCTGTTCAAACACATTTATTAAATCTGGTAATTAACTGATTAAAATGTGTTTGAGCAGGGAAGCCTGCAGACTGTGTTGGGTTCTGACCTTCCAGGCCTGGAATTGGAGAACCCTGTTCTAGATGCTTAGCATATGATTTTTTAATTTACTTATGCCACCTATACAACACATGAAAAAGTTTAACTATTGTTTAAATTTGCACTATGCACCTGCTTTTGTAGTTGCGCGGCTAGTGAAGTATTTAGCAAAATGGGGAAAACCAGAGATGATCAAACGAAACTGAAAAAGATGCCGTTTTGATAGGGACAAGAGAGCAAAAGATAAAGATATGCAGACAAAAAATGGGAGAGTCAGTCTTTCCTGAGGCCTGGGCTTACAGGAGCGAAGAAACACACTCACATATAAACAAGGGAACAAAAGCGGGTGGGAGGAAAATTGTACTGTCAGCTAACTAACCTCCTGGGATACACAGCCCCCCCCCTCCACATAGACACACAAACTAAACCATGTCCTTGTGGACTTGGCTGGTGCCAAAAAACATCTCAGTAAGGAGCTTCCAATTACAGCCTTCTAAATATGGTTGTTTTTATGCAATCTTTTTGTAGCAGCTGAGTTTCAGCTTACAAGAAATAAAAAAAATCTTTTGACACCTACTGAACATTCAAATAGTTCTTCTTTCCGATCTCAGGTACTTGTGCAGCTGTTTCTGACCCACGGAAACTGACCTGCACTTTAACTGTTGTTACTGGTATTTCACTGGCATTTGCTCCAATGCCTTTTTTTTCCGGATTGCCCAGTTTGGGAGAAATTTATATTTGCCAATGTATTTTGTCTGGATCATATTTTATGACTGTGAAATCTTCCAAATTTGTAAGTGTATTCTGAGTTTTAATATCAGATATCAGAATCATAATTTTCATAGCATTCTCATCAGATGTTTTTTTCTAAAGGGACATACAGTAGAGGGAAGGGTTACAATTTATGTGTACTCCCTGGGATTGAAATCCACAGAATACACCACCGTTTAGTTTACCCCTTTGTTACAATAATGTGGAAAATGTGTTATGAATGTGAAAATGCTGCATGAGAAAGTAAATCACTATCGCATAAAATGTATTTCAATGCATTTACATCTCCAGCATGTAGCTAGACCCAAACTCCTAATACAACTCGAAACGGCGCGTCGCCTTACTACCCACGCTGGTCTCTTTCGTCGTCTGCGCATGCGGAAGACCTTACGTCACGTCCTCCCCGGATTCCACAGAAATCGACGAAGAGAAGACTGAGCCGAGGTGGAAGGGGCGTTACAGAGTGGAAAATAGTTATAACACGCTTCGGATAAAATTACAGTTTACGTATAGTGCATTTTAACAAAGAGTACAACAAACCACGCGACCGCAATGTCGGCCCATGCTCAAATGAGAGCTCTGCTCGACCAGTTAATGGGAACTGCGAGGGATGGTGAGTAACTAGCAGGCTAGTCGGCTAGCTCGCACCGAAGGTAGTTAGCGATTATTTTATTTCTAAGATGAACACGATCTGATTTCGCCCCAAGAGGATGGTTTAAATCCGGCTTGGTAGGATCATACGGCTCTGCACTGTCTCGCTAGTAAAATGGTGTCAACTGGTATTTAATGTTTGTATCCTGCATTTTTATGTTCGGTAGTTAGCTAAAGTGTTTACCAGGCAGCCGGGGCCTTGTTCGTGGAGCAAGGCCTGCTTTTATCTTCCTAGATCAGTATCATCGTGTAGCTTGGATAATATGTCTAGACCATTGTTCTGCATGTCAGCTTTGTAGTCCCACGTCAGTATGTGTGGAGTAAAACTACATAAAACCAATCTGCATGTCTCCGTGCAAAATGACTGACGTTTTTAGTTAGCCACCTAGCCGCCGTATATCATTGTCCACCTAAACAATAGCTCTGCTTTGGTTACGGCCTGAACTTTCTCTTTCGCCCCCTCCGCGGCACTTAGTTGACTTGGGTTTTACATTTTGAAGGATCTCTTTATGATACATTAACTAAATGCAGGAGACTTTCCCAGCCCAGTAAAATGTGGAGATTTCCGCGTGTGCAGTAGTGTCAATGGATACAAACATTAAACAGTGTTATCCGCGGTGCAGGTAACATGCTTTGAGCCTGAGACGGAAGGCTTTCCTGGGTTTTTCTTCCGCCGTCCAGTCGAAATACTTTTCTGGGCAAGGACTAGCTCGTAAACAAAGAAACAAAAATGGTTTACATCTACGTGGCTGATCTTAGACTTGGTTCTAACTTTTGCTCAGACTAATGATTGCTAGTTGTGTGGAGTGAGTTTGTCTGTGTGTATGTATTTAAGATTAATTATAAATGCTTCCCATACCTATGTTCCATACAAACTGAACAATTGTGGCCCCTTTATTTTATTTATAAAGGTTCAGTGTATCTTTGCCAGCCTACATCAATCTGCAAGGGAGTTGCAGAAAAGCCTCATGTTCATCGAGCCGTGAGTCACAAATATAATTTTTAACGCTGTTATGAATATCGAAACAATTTGTTTGCTTTTCAGAAGTAATTATAATTTTGATCATATCAAAAGCTCATCAACTTAAGAGCAAAAAAAAAAGAGAGGAGAAAAGCAGATACCTTGAAATGCAAACAGCAGAAGTATTTGCATCATAACTGAGGAGTATTTGGTTGCCTGCAAGCCATGGAGCAGTTCATACAGTAGTGAGTTTCTAGTAACACGTTTATCATAGAGACAGAGTAGCTTTAAAATATGCCGCAAAGCATTTACTCTGACTTGTGTATCATTCCCAACTTCCTTACTACAGGTGTGGGCAAGAAAGCTTTTCCCTTTTATACTTTTCAACAGCGGGTTTAAAATTCTGCAGCTGAGGTCTTGAAGATGCAGATGGGTACAGTATATGTGGAAGCTCGCAGTGTGTATTAACTAACCGCTTTTTTTATTTTGATTTTTTTCTCCCTACAAATCCCTCCTCATTCAGACTTTGTGTTAAGGTTTGGTCAACAGAAACACATGCAGTCACGTTGTCCTTGTTGTAAAGGTCTGCACAGCCATGAGGATTTAACAGCTGCTACAGTAACCCAGCAGGGTTAAATTTGAATGAGGAGGTCATGAGACAAAGGTAGTTCTCTACCACCTGCCTGTGTCAGTCATCGGCAGGTCCTCCTTTCCATCAGGCAGACGGGTGTATCATTCTGGGTTTGGTCGGACCTGAAATAGATTTCTTTGCCCGTTTCCTGTAATGAAGGCCATCTGCAGAGGTCCTCTCATGACAATCCATTTGCAGCACTTCATGTGAATTGTCGCTTTGAGGTAGTTCAACTGATCTTCTCAGACTTGCTGGTCTCAGCATTACAAATTGACCCAATCCCACCCTCATGTGTGTGTGTTTGGGGAGTCTGAAGGTTTTATTTCAGAAACCTGCTTCAGCACATTTCCCAAGTGATGGATACACAGTTAAAGCCCTGACTAGTGAAATATACGCAGCCTTAGTATTTTTTTTACTTCTAATCATGTTCCTCTTGGTAAATTAAGAGGTAAGCAGAATTTGCAGCTCTGGTACCAGTAAAACGGCTTCCATTTGACAGGACGAGATGGTCGCACTGATTTCACCTGCCGGTGCAATGCATTTCAGTTAAATCGCCTTTTGGAATTATGAAAATAAAATTCAGGCATAGCTCGCTCATCCAAAATTAATCCTTTGATACTCAAATGAAAGATGCCCTTTCAGAATGAACGAAAAGCACACAATACTGCTCTGGGGGGTCATTAGGGTTGCACCCTACTACCAAGTCCAAGCCTTTTCTTTGCTCGGCTTGTTTTCCAAAAGCGTGTGGTCTCACTCTCTGCTCTGTTCTGCTGCGACCTTTTTCAGGTGACGAAACTCGACAGAGGGTGAAGTTCACCGACGAGCGAGTCTGCAAAAGTCACCTCTTGAACTGCTGCCCCCATGACATCCTCTCTGGAACTGTAAGTGACGTATGAATACCCATGTGTGTCATGGAGACTTCTGGACTGTCAGTTTTGACTGCAATTTCATATCTTTTAAAAAATTTTGCCACATGAGGGATATTAGGGCGTTTTTCCACCGCACCAGGTACCGTACTTTCGGTACTTCCATAAAGTGTCGAAAGTATGGTACTACTTTCGTGTTGGTTTTCCACTGGCGTAAAAAATGGTACCGGCACCAAATGACATCATCAGTGACCGCCCCTGACTGACATCGTCACAAAGCGCAGCTTAAATCATAATAAAAAAAAAAAAACTTAAATTTAAATTAAAACTGCGGTTTATTGTTATGTCAGCTTCTATCACAGTATAAGATTCAGTAATATCCAAATTGCATGAATGCTGCCATCATTTACGTTTACGTAGGTACACTTACGATCAAAGCAGTAAGGATTAGCATACTGCTAATTCAGTCTTTTGAAAGCAAACAAATTATTTAATTATGTTTTTTGATTTTCAAGCGGCATTGTTCGGTGTTTCGCGTGTGCCCCATTTCTTCCAAGCGGCTTGGTATTACAGTGTTCCGGGCAATTCAGTTTCCCTGTGTTTCTCCTGTCTATCAGGAAATAATGTTTCCCCTAATATTAAAGCAATGAGGTATGTGAAATGTCTGCAAATCACTCGGGTACATTATTACATGTGAATACAGTAGTTCGTCATGCATAATATAGTCTTATAAGCAATACTATACCGTTTTCATCAAGAAATATCTCTATCCAGCGAATTAAATAATTTCATTTATCTGTAAAAACAAAAAACATCGAAAAGGCATGATGTTTTAAAATATATGGCTTGTTTACCTCAAGAGCTCCGTAAAAGACATGAAAACAGTGGAACCGTGTACAAATCAGCGTGCAACAGGGGAAACATAGGGAAACTGAATTGCCTGGAACAGCAAAAACTTTATTTCGAGTCGTGCCATCCAAATCCCACTGGATCTGTTCATCCGACCATATGGCGATTAAAGCCTGTATTTCCTCGTTTGTCCATCCTTCCATTTTACTTTTTTTATATTTTTGTTTCTACTGCTTTTTTATTTTGTTTCTCGCTGTTTGCTGTGTGTTTCAAAACATGGCGGTTGTATTTTGTGTTTCAGCAGCAGGCTATTTGCATAACCAATCCATAGCAAATACTTTTGCAAGTCCCACCCCAAAGTACCGAAGTACCAAAGTACCCCAGCTGGTTTGGCACTTTCGGTACTGGAACTTTCGGTACTGGTACTTGACCGGAAGTCAATGGAAAAGCGAAAGTACCGAAAGTACCATACTTTGTGCGGTGGAAAAGTGCCCTTAGAGTCTGGTATATTGAGGACCTGTAGGTAAAATAAATATTGACATTTATTGGGAATGATTGCTGGTAATCGCTAATCTCAATTCATACAAGTGATATGCCATAGACTTTTTAAAAGGAGGTGAAATGTGTTGTGTGGCTTTCAGGTAACTAGTTGAGTGTTTCTTTGCCTTTGCTGCAGTGTTTTTGCTGTGTTCGCTTTCCAGACCTTTGGTGAGAATGTGAGTCTCTTTCTCCTCCACAGCGCATGGACCTTGGAGAGTGTTCAAAGATTCATGACCTGGCGCTCCGGGCAGATTACGAAATCGCTTCCAAGGAAAGAGACCTCTTCTTCGAGCTCGATGTAAGTCATGTCACAGCTCCTGGTCCGGAGTGTTTCAGCCTTTTGTTTGGTGTTATGGCCTGATTGTCACCCCTCCCCGTTTAGGCCGTTGATCATCTGGAGTCCTTCATCGCTGACTGTGACAGAAGAACGGAGCTGGCCAAGAAGCGCCTTGCAGAGACCCAGGAGGAGATCAGCGCCGAGGTCGCTGCCAAGGTGAGTGGGCGCTCCAAATCAGCCTCAATTTCAGCAATTAACCAGATGCTCTATGGGAGACAAAGTGACGTTCTCGTGGACTTTTTGGCTGATGGTGCGTGATGAAGGTGCCATGCTCACCTCACCATGTCTCTGAATGCAGGCCGAGAAGGTGCATGAGCTGAACGAGGAGATCGGCAAGCTGCTGGCTAAGGCAGAGCAGCTCGGTGCTGAAGGCAACGTGGACGAGGCCCAGAAGGTCCTGCAGGAGGTGGAGAAGGTCCGAAGCAAGAAGAGGGATGCTGAGGTAGGGAGCCCTATCACCGGGCAGTAGGGCCACGCAAAAACATTGACCTGGAATCAGTTTTGCTCAGCTTGGTTGCACTTGAAGCATAGAGAATCTAGACGCATGCAGTGATATTTAATGGACATTTTAAGTTGTTGCGTTTCAGCTGCATGGTTGTACAGAAGTACAGCTCATGTTAATCAGATCTATATTTATATAAGTGCCCCTCATTCGCCTGTCCCCCTTGCCTGTTAGGAGGAGTACAGGAACTCAATGCCGGCCTCCAGTTTCCAGCAGCAGAAGCTCCGTGTGTGCGAGGTATGCTCTGCCTACCTGGGCCTGCATGACAATGACCGGCGCCTTGCTGACCATTTTGGCGGGAAGCTGCACCTCGGCTTCATCCAGATTCGCGAGAAGCTGGAGCAGTTAAAGGTAGGCTGGGCTCCTCACTTTGTGGCGGGGGGCTGGATGCTGGGTTTCACTGCAGCCTTCCTGTTTAATGTAAGAAGTGCTGTCGTCTTTTGTGGATCAGATGCTCTCAATCACTCCTCAGCAAAGTAAACAACAGGAACTAGGCAAAGGCATCCTTGAAGATGCACAAGAAGCCTGCCAACTTTCAGTGTTTCATCAATTGCTTTGGCACATTTCATGAAACATACATCATTCTCATTTCTCAAAACAGTTTATGCATATAGCACAACCCTGTGGTTTAGCTGCAAATGCCTGTGGCTTGCCCAGAGCAATTAACTTATGTCTGCAAAGCAGATAATTTCACCAAGGAATCAGTCAGTGCCACCAAAATGAAAAATGCAATGAGACACCAAAATGCTTAGATATATTGTCAAAATGTCAGTGTAAATACTCTCCTGAGTGCCACAGTTCTGGGTGATAGTTGGGAAACTCACTTATTCATGTCCGACATCAGTTTCAACTTTGCTAAGCTCCATATCACAGTATGTACAGTGCACTGTTGAAAGAAAGCACTCGTGTGTATTTTTCAGATCTCGAGTGTGCAATAGCGAACAGAAGTCACAAAGCATTGTGTAACAAAAATGGCAAAAAGGCAGTACAAGGGCAACAAAATCATGTACTGCGGGAACCAATATATCACATGTGGTGGCTAATGCGATAATCTTGCATATACAGTTTTGGGTATGAAATCATTAAAATGGGGAAACTGCATAATCCATTTTGACCAAGATTAAAGCAACTGAAAATTGCACCACATGATGACAGTTTATACAAAACCATTTGCATGTATGTACTAAGACATTTGGAAATTTGTGTGAATCAATGAGTGGCGATGTTCTGCTGTGCAGAAGTGACATTGTGTGTGGGGATCACACTTGTTTTGCAAATATTAATCTGAGAAATTCTCCAAAGTAATCGCAAAAGTGTAAAGGGTAATTTCCCACATTGCTTGTATAGAAGCTGATATTTTTGAGTCTGCATCAGTCCTGAAAGTTTGATCTTTCCTCCAGAAAACAGTTGCAGACAAGCAGGAGAGGCGGAACCAGGAGCGTCTGAAGAGGAGGGAGGAGAGGGAGCGTGAGGAGAGGATGAGAAAAAGGTTGGTGTCTCTGTGGTCCCCTCTCCCGCCTGTGGGCGGGACTTAAGGGGCGTGGCTCTGACTGGCAGGATACTGGGCTGTGTGGAGTGTGTTGCCCGGGCAGTGGCCTGTGCTGCGAGTGCTGATGGGTATATGTCAGCTGGATTTTAAGTACACTTTCTGCTCCAGAGGGGATTCTGCGTTGGCTGATACCCCAGGAGAGCTGCATAGGGGGACTGCCTCAGGGTAAGTAAGCCTCCTCTCTCACTCACTCACCATCATCAACGCTTCACTACCCCCCCACCCCCCGGGGATAGGCCAAGACAGTATCCTTGGTATTTGTAGGAGGAGAGTCATGAACAATGAAGGGGAGCTTGTGTGTCCTCCATGATCTCCACGTACTATATTTTGTGTGTATCCTAGTCTGTTAGTGGTAACTTCAGGGGATGCTGCCCCTTTCTTAGCTGGGAGCCTACAGCAAAAGCGCACTGCTGGGACCTGTGGTTTTGAATTAGGGTTAGAAGTCGTCAGGTGTGCAGTTCTGACAGACTCCAAGGGTCTGCATTGCTGCTTAATGTGATGTGTCTCTGTCTGCAGGACTCGGTCACGGAGCAAGGAGCATCGGAGGTCCCGCTCCCGAGATCGCAGGCGGCGGCGGTCCCGCTCGTCGTCGCGGGAGAAGCGGCGGTCCCGCTCACGCTCCCGAGACCGCGAGAGGCGCCGCCGGCACCGCAGCCGCTCCCCCAGCAAGGGCCACCAACGCAGCCGGGACCGGGAACGCGACCGCGCAGCCAGGCATAAGTAAGGGATGCACTGCACTCAATCACACTTACGTAGCAGAGACTTGGTGCTTTGTGTGTTTATAGCCTTTTTGAATTGAACAGTGATAGGAATAAAGTAAGTTTCGCTACTTAGCTAGTGCACTCCGGGTGGCCTGAGCTGAAACTCCTTCTCTCTGCTAAGTTGCTGGAAGCTTGTGAGCTGCTTCATTCTCAGGGACCTTTTGCTGTCTGTGCGGCAGGTCGTCCCGGGACCGGTCCCGCGAGAGGGACAGGAAAAAGGCGTCGTCAGAGCGGAGGCAGGATGGCGTCAACGGCAAGGTGGACTCAAGAAGGATGGAGGACAGGGAGGCCGGGGAGATCTGAGTGTGCCCCCCCCCCCCGCTGTGCTCTGCACTCCCAGCTCACTCTTACACATTAGCTATACCAGCCCCGCCTGTCCTCTGTACCCACACCTCGCCACACCTCTCTCTCCTGGATCATGGCTTCTGTAGGGCATAGATTTTATTTCCGGAAAGATCAGTTTTGCTTTAAGGGTACTTATGCCCCCCCC